TTCACTCAGTAAACTGAAGAATGTGCCATTTGGACCGAATGGGGATTCTTAATGAATCAAAATTTCAATGTACAGTCAAAAGTCGTTAATCCGGACTCGTCGGGACTTCGGTGATTCCGGATTATAGATCATCAGTTTAAATCTGGTAAGATGGCATGCAGAAATTATAAAATTTAAAATATGAAGCCGTAATTTATGAAATAAAGAACAATTATGATCTAAAGAACAATTACAAAAAAAAAAAAAAAAGCTTAATATTTGTTTACTTTATTAAACATTTCTTTCAATGTAAGTTGTTTAAGTTGCTTCGTTTTTTATGTGATAATACATTCTCTTTAATTCTTTAAACAGACATAATTTCTTGTTCAGTTACAAAGTTCCGCTGCTCAAGTCCTATAATTGCCGTGTCGAGAATACCGACTAATTTGTCAATTGAAACTTTTTCGTTTTCAATAACCTCTGTTACTTTCTTTGCTATCAGAAGCGAATTATAATGACGAGGAATTTGATTTAGATCATATCAAAGATGGAGTACATCGAGATGAAATACTACATTTAATAAGGAATTATAAGCCAAATAAAATAAAAACATCTGCCTTGAAGATAAGGATAGTGCTGACAGATCAACTTCCAATTCAATGCACGACGTTAAAGATAAACAAAGTTTAGATAAACAAAGGATATGCCTTTATCCATTTTTTGTAGCAATTCCACTTTTTGTTTAATGAACTTCGAAACCTACTTTCGCTTTGTAGATCATTTACATATTAATAAATATATATCAGAAATTCTATTTGACATAATCGAAAGTTCAAGCTTACTTTTATAAAACTGCTCTACAGTCTGCAAAAAATAATAAGCCGGATCCAATTCGAAGATTAAGGAACAACCCCAATCTGCAACATTAACTGAAATAGATAATTAAATAATTTTAGCTTAGCTTATACCGTCCGTTATACATTAAACGCGCACTCGTAAATGTATTTTGCGCACACGCACAAGCATATTCTCAGCCGTAAAGACCTTACGCACCGCGACGCATGCGCAGAAAGTTTGAATCTTTGAGGTCCGGATTATGGCTGTCCGAATTAACGACTTTTGACTGCATAAGTACTTTTTTAATTTTAACTGCCTTCACATCACCAAACAAAAAATTGCTGTAGATGATAGATACTCTATCCATGGCTTATTATTTTTTTAAAGACAAAAACTAAGGGTGTGGCTTACATACAAAAGAATAATGTAGAAACTATTTTTGACATAATTGAAAATTTGGATAAGAGAGCTACAATAATAATGGCCTTCAAAAAATAATGAACTATATCAAACTGAACTTCTTCTGAATCTATTTCTTTCTCTCTTCTTGCAGTTATGCCAACAAAAGAAAACACGTATTAGCAGCACCCTAGGCCAGCACTATGCATTTCGCAGTGCACATTTACACAGCAAAATATTTTACCCCCCTAAATTCTGTTTCGTAGAATTTACTCCCCCTCCCACAAACTCCATATCACTCCAGAGCCATAAATGTGGTCTCAAGTAACATCAATCACTGTACTGTCATTGGCCGCAATGGGTGCGATTTCCTGGCCAATAAGTGTTGAAAGTTACATACAGAAATATCAGTTAATCAGGAGGAAAATTGCTTTTATGGCATACCTATGTTTGTTTTTAGAATACTGCATTCTTCATCTTAAATTTTGTCTAAAAAAATATTGCTGGTGGTTTAAAGGTTTGGATTGTTCCTGAATACTGAACATTTGGACTAATTGTTGTATATATAAGGAGAACAACAGCGGGGGAAAACATTATAGCAGGATTTCTAAAAAAAGGTAAATACTTGATTACCAATGTTTCATCTTTTCTTAAATTTTATTGATTGCTCTTTTACGGAATTTTTAGTGCAGAGCTATTTTGAAAATAACTCTTGCCTTTGGCATATCAGCTTGGTGAAAAGTTTTGAATCTCATCAAGGAGTATTCTGTTTTGGAAACTGAAAAGAACCCTATACATGAAAAAAAAAAAAAAAAAAAAAGTGATGAAAAAATTATTATATTACTATAGTTTCTATTATAATTACTAGTTTTAATTATTTATTTCTTTTGGGAGGAAAATGTTCAGCAATTATTGCTTCAAAGGATCTTTTACAGTGAGCTTCATTTTAGCTCATGTGGTGGCAGAAAATGGTGTCTTGCTGTATACCTAAGTTTCTTGATCTGCTATTTTGAAAAACTCCATATCCGCATGATATTTTGCATATGAACTCATTTTTTTTCATATACTCTTCGATATTTTGCATACGTGCTCAATATTTTACATACGAAATCTACAAAACTGAGTTTGTAGTTCACTTTAAAAAGCTCAAAACCTTCCTTCTAGAATTCTTCTGTTTTATACGAGGCTCATGATTCAGATATGGTCATCCCTTTTTTGATCTCATTGGGTTTTTTTTCCCTGCGCACTATAACACACCTGGCAAATGCAGCCAAAAACCCACTGAGGCAAAAGAATGCAAGAATGCTGAGTAAGCCTTCATCACCTATTATTATTTTTTTATTTTCATGACTGCATACTGTAGATGCATATTTGTCTCAAATAACTCTTCCAGTCTATAACAGTAATGTCAGCCACGTTCAATTCTCGGAAGCAAAATTTTATTGGTGTCATTTCCTTACACCAGCAGCAGATGAATCTGACGGCAGAAACACGTAGAAATTTACTTATCTAGCTCTTCAGCTCCATTATGCTGAAAACCAGTTGCCAATTCACATTCCCACAAATTCCATGTATTTTTTAACATCCTCTTAAGCTCTTCGTTTGACTAAAATGAAACTTCATTTCATGCAGACTGGAACACTGACAGTTACTGAGCAATATACAAAGTGGTTAAAATTAAAACACCCCTACTCTGAGCTCTCTATACACTGAACAACTGAGTGTAAAGGCCCCAAAATTGTTGAACATACTATTCAAGACATGGTGAAACGGATTACATGAAAAAAATATTAGTTCCAGAAACACCAATAGGTGGCACTGCACAACAGAGTATATGCTGAAAGGACACAAAATACACTCTATAACACATTCTATTCGAATATACCAAACATTCATATCACAAAGACCTTATTGATGCAAGGGAAGCTACTCAATATGATTTCCTTCTTCAAGATGTAAAATCTGCAGTCTGTGGACAGCTTGTTCAACTGCAGATCATAATTGGTCGATTGAGATGCTTCTCACATGCAGAATGATACTGTCTTTCAAATCTGCCAAGGTTATCAGGCATGTTCTCGATAAACAAGATGTGTTAAGTAATACCACAGCCCAAAATCACAGGGATTAAAATCTGGAGAACGAGATGGCCAGAGAGCAAAATTGCAGTTAGAATGACAGTTTAAGTTTCTTAACTTTTTGTGTGTGTGTATTTTTCACATTAGCAATAGAAATTAAAAAGGAATATTTCTATACCTCATGACTTTTTTTTTTTTGGTGATTATTCGTGCCTTTTCAAGCATATTTTCCATTGCACAGCACTACCTATCGGTGTTTCTGGAACTAATTTTTTTTTCACGTTATTCGTTTCCACATGTCTTGAATAATATGTTCAACAATTCTGGGACCTTTACACTGTAGTTTGATGAATAGAGAGCTCAGAGTAGGGGTGTTTTAATTTTAACCACTATAACCAATCCCTTAACATAAACTGTTGGACTACCTGTGACAACAAGGCTGCCCTCTGGTGAGTAGCCAGAGAAGTACTTCAGTAAAAGCCAAGGCTCCCACTTTATAGGTTGGACCAGACTATTGCTCTGTAATTTTTCTTAAAGTTAAATGTAATGTCCATGTGTAACTTAAACCTGTTAATAAATATTTGTTACACTATACCGGACTCTTCTATGACTCTATCTAAAATGACTACTTCACAAAAGTGGCACGCCAACGTAAATGTTTAGCTTTAAGAATTTTCCTTGGCTTTTGCTCATTTTCTTTTCAGAAACAGCGTACTTGCGACCACACCCTGCTGGAATCTAACTCCTAAAACTTTAGGAAAAGAGATACCTCACCCATCAGGTCTGAATTTATTTTATGTGTGTTCCACTCCACTCCGATGGCCTATCAGCAACAAATATTTGTTCGTTAACTGGATATGAGTTGTTTTGCATTTAAACACTAACGTTCTATAATGTGTTAACCCTTAATGTTGAAAACGTGCAAATACTTAAATATGAAAACGTAAAAATACTTTACTGTGTTCTTAAAGTATATATGTATATCTTGAATATTGTATCTATGAATATATGCACATCTATGAATATTGTATCATTTTGAAGTGATTAAGAAATTCTTTCTTTTTGTTTACACCTGAGTGCTCTAGAACTGCATAATCATAATATTCAGTTTTGTTTCGAAATAGTAAATGTGGTAAAGCATAAAAAGTATAATATATTCAAAGCGAGGCAATTTAAGAGTAAACTTCTGTATTAGAAACTGTTATTATAATATGCTGAATGTATTCAATCTTATAAAGGTAGTTTTGATTTGAGCTCAACTTGACGAACCAGTGACTCAGTAACATGTTTATTACCCTGTTGCCTCCATAATGGTCTTATATCACATGCTTATAAAAAATGAATAGCATCACCTTCATTGTTTAGTAAATCCCACAGACCCATGTCAAATTATAAACTCTATTCTGCATTTTATAAGTAGTCTTAAAACGTAGTGATGTTATACGGTTCCAATAGCTATTAATTTGTGTTATGATGTCGTAGTTGGCAACTATTTAATCTTTTTTGGTGAATTGACTTTTTCTTCCTTTAAGCTCAGTCTTGTCTCATAATTTTACTTTTTTGGAGAATATACAAATAACATTTCAATGTATAATAATAAACATATAGCTAAAAAATAATACAAAGAATCCAGCCCAAATAACAACTTAGCCATGCTAAGTGAAATGCACGAGTTTCATTTAATATTTTATATTCAATCTGTAATCTTACTTTTAGATGTGATGCTGTAAATGGCTCCATTATTTTTCGAAAATTAAGCATCAACTCAGTGGCATTCTTTCCCAGTCTACTTCTGTTTATGACAAAAGAATGTGGAGCTTTCACCAATTCTTCAGGTTCGACATCACATTTATTTTTTGCATTGCGAGCGGCTCGTCCTTTCTGTAAAAAAAAAATCATGTATCACAAACTTATAAATAAAAGATATAAACCGATAATCCCGCGATGAAACCTCACTTCTGGTTACCATGATAGTTTTCACTTTGTTTTTGCTTCCTGATTTTATTTAAATGAATAGAGATTGATGTGTACATGGACAAATTTAAGCCAGTGTGCAATGCCTAAATTGTGCAATTCTAGGATGTTTTTTTAAGTGAAAACAGATCGATGTGTACAAGGGCACAGAGTTTGTGCAATTCTTTGACTTCTTATTTTGGTTTTGTATAGCGGCCACCTTGAATTGTGCCTTCATGGCGCCGAATTTGGCATCAAAAAGAATCGCCAAAAAACAAGGGGCACCCAATTGTAAACTTTTACCAGCAATCATAATATCCCTACACTTCACATTCTTATCCCGACAAAATATACTGTTAAAAGGATTACGAAATTTTTTAATGCACATGAAATAAACAGAAATCATGTTCCTTTAACACCAATTTTTTAAAAGTTCTGCAAAAACGAATAGAACTTCCAATGTATATTTTAAGAGCAATTAAATTCTAAAAACTATTTATGGTACGCTTCTTACAGCCTGAGAGGGGAAACTTCGTAACTGCAAATAAATACAGGTATATTTTATATGTGAAGAAAAATACAAAAATATTTACTTTATGCTTCCTTTTACCCATGTTTATTTCTAACCACGAAGTGTAAATAATACGTGCTTTTAACACATGTGCTGTTTTATGTTGGGTTGAGGATATTTTAGCCTGATATTGTTATTTATTTTTTCCTCTTCTACATGAGATGAAAACAAGATGTAAAACATAAAATATAAAGAAAAATAAGATACGAAAACACTTCAGAAATCTTAATAATAAATTAAGAATTCCAGTGATTGTTAGTGATATACTGTTTCTTATAAGCTAATTTATATGGCCGAACTGAGGCTCAAAACTCGTGATTCACTCATGTTGCGATGAAAAAGTTTTTCTTTTAAACACAATTGTTATTGGAAACACAGTTTGTGTTATAAGATATCTTTTTAAATGCTACGAAATTCTTTTCTCTCTTTATAACTTTTCTTCTTTAATAGCTAAGCTTTATTATTCGCCTTGTGGGCAGAAAGACTTGGCGGATGCTAAACAAGAAATCTTTCTACTCTTCTTTCCGTAGAGCATAATGCAGCTATTATTCTGTTTACTAAAATTAAACTTTATACACTGAATTTGTTCATTTCTGAGATAATTGTATTTTTCTTTGGTAAAAGCGCAGAATAGGCTGCATCAACAAAGTTCAGTATGAGGAGCTGCGTGACGTCATTAAATGGGTGGGACTAAGCTTATGACGTCACAATGTAGTCTCGCATTTACACTACGTGTACTTTCTATTTTCTCTTAAAAATAACAATAATAAATTGTTTATTATTGTAAATTAATATCAAATTAGTTACTTTTAATTTACATTTATAACATTTAAGTTTAGGCGTTACTGATAATAAGTATAATAAATCGTTTATAAAATTACCATGATACAGTGAGCGAATTCTACCAATTATTAAAACGATAAACAACGTTCGCAGTCTCTAATAGTTGTAGAGCTTCAATATTAAATTATTATTTTTTTTATTAATTTTTTTTATTTATACAAATAAACTATTTTTTTTTAAATTATAAATTCATATTGCGGAACATTTTCAATTTTATCATTTTTACAAATTACCTTCTTGCTACGTAACGACATAATTACTTACATACCAATAATTAGACAATTTTCATTTTTTTCCAAAAATTTTAAACTTTACATTAATAGAAAAGAAAGAACATTTTTTTATTGCATATGAACATCATTACACAGCTTTCATATCAGTTTTCTAAAATTCCTAAATCACGCTATATTCTGTGCAGGCATGCTACAATTCTACGCATTAATAAATAAAAAAATCTAATTTCTCAGAATGAAAGAAAATAATATAATAAAATAAATACTACAAACTTGGAACACTAAGCAATGCTTCACATACGCACACACACACATATTATTTGCAATTACGATACCAAACACTACGTATTAAAATATGAGGTAAACGTTACTTCAAGCGTTTAAAGTTTACAGTTTTGCTACTGTTGAGTCGATCGTCGGACTATCCATATTATCGTAAATCGGAAAGCGTTATAAACATATCAAAAAACAAAAAATTAAAATACAATTTAAATGAAAAATTATGTCTTAAATATAATTCACAATTAAAACAACAATACAAATTTAAAATACACAAACGATATGTTAAACATTGCACATAAAATAAGTCACATTACTCCTCGACATCACGCCACAACCTCGTTTTCCCTTTTACACAACGATCAGTATTCGCTCGAAAAACATTAAAGAATTCCACAAACTCGGTGTCCTTGTGCTCATTTATCTATTTTCACTTAAAGAAAAATCAGACAATTGCTCAAACTCGGCATTGCGCACCACATTGGCTTTGCCCATGTGCACATCAATCTATTTTCACTTAAAAAAACATCCCAGAGTTGCACAAACTCGGCATTGCGCACCACATTGGCTTTTCCCATGTGCACATCGATATATTTTCACTTAAAAAAACATCCCAGAGTTGCACAAACTCGGCATTGCGCACCACATTGGCTTTTCCCATGTGCACATCGATCTATTTTCACTTAAAAAAACATCCCAGAGTTGCACAAACTCGGCATTGCGCACCACATTGGATTTGCCCATGTGCACATCGACCTATTTTCACTTAAAAAAAACCCAGAATTGCACAAACTCGGCATCGCGCACCACATTGGCTTTGCCCATGTGCACATCGATCTATTTTCACTTAAAAAAACATCCCAGAATTGCACAAACTCGGCATCGCGCACAAACTCGGCATTGCGCACCACATCGGCTTTTTCCATGTGCACATCGATCTATTTTCACTTAAAAAACATCCCAGAGTTGCACAAACTCGGCATTGCGCACCACATTGGATTTGCTCATGTGCACATCGACCTATTTTCACTTAAAAAACATCCCAGAATTGCACAAACTCGGCATCGCGCACAAACTCGGCATGCGCACCACATTGGCTTTGCCCATGTGCACATCGATCTATTTTCACTTAAAAAAACATCCCCAGAGTTGCACAAACTCCGCATTGCGCACCACATGGCTTTGCCCATGTGCACATCGATCTATTTTCACTTAAAAAAACATCCCAGAATTGCACAAATTTGGCATCACGCACCACATTGGCTTTGCCCATGTGCACATCAACCTATTTTCACTTAAAAAAACATCCCAGAATTGCACAAACTCGGCATTGCGCACCACATTTCTGGATCTTTAAAACTCAAGCTATGATTGACTTTCAGGTGCGCATACCCTTCGAACTCGAGACAGTCGTACGCTTTCTAACAATCGGATATAATAATCGATCCTGGTAGAACATTCTCTTTAATGATTTCTAGCAATGTTTCGGCACCTCTGTTTTCAACAACTCTAAAGACGCATTTATCTATTCCTCTCTCAACCAAACCAAAAACCCATTTTCCTTCGACTCTTTTACTTCTATGATACTTTTGCTTGCCAAACTTGCTTTCGTCGTCGATTTCGACAATGACACCTTCCCCACCCAACTTAACATTCTCCTTCAAACATAACTCCATGCATACTTCTCTACAAAAACTTTTCCAATCTGTCACCGTATTTTTAGCAATACGTAATTCCGTTCGTATAAAATCATTCCCGCACTTACCCAACCACATATAGGTAACTCGCAAAACATCACACATGCTCAATTTACTCTTCGCAAACCAGGAGTTCTTTCGAATTGATCTTGAAATTCGATGGCTACATTCGCTTTCAGTAACTCTGCACATCCACTCAAAACCGTCTATAAGGTTTTTTCGCTCTACTAGTTTCATATTTGTTCCACAAATTGGGCACTTATACGATATTGCAATCAAACCTTTCTCCATGCACCCCTCAAAAACGCTTTTTTTTATCTCTTCGCTCCAACTAATAAAAAAATCCAGATTCAGATACTCATCCATTCTGCAGTAAGCACTGAATTAGACACACTCATCAATAATCAAAACATTCTTTAAGCAAAAGAATTCTTTTCTCTATTTTCAGAAGTTACGGTTTATAATTTTTAATTCATGCATTCAATATTTTCAGTCGTTTGCTAATGATCGTTTTCAATCTTTTGGTATCTTAATAATACATTTGTGAGAGATAATTCTTTGCGTTAAATGCTAACACTACCACACAACACACAAAAGTAGATTTATAATTAAAAATATCTCGCGCAGAACATTATAAACCTACCATTTCAACTCAGTTAAAATATAATTTAAGTTTTCTTTAAATACCAAGTTATAGAATACTTATAACTTGTTCTTAAGAAGAGGTGTAACCCATGGACCTTATAAGAAATAGCCTAACCCAAACGGGTTTCCTCCCTCGTCTGAGGCGTTGCCGGCTGTCACCTTATTCACATCCGGAGGAGTAGGGACAACTTGCAGAAATTTAACATTAATTGCCTATTGCAGCGTGTATAATTGTCAAGAGAAAGCTGGTTGTAGCGCACATTTCACAAATTAGAATTTCTACATATTTTTATTTTTGAAATTGAGATTGATTTTTAAAAATTTTAATTTTTTAATTTTGTTAAAAAAAAACACAATTGTGTTCATGAGTGTAGTCAAAGTTGTTATCATTTACATTAAATACAGTCTTCCAGGTGTGTGTAATGAGTGTGTTTTGTAAAGCTGAATAGAGGTAAAGATGGGGAAAATTAATAATAAAATAATAAATTTTGGGGGTCCAGTCACATAACAGTATAAGTCAGGTTTAGAAGCTAACTTTTGCTATAACAGGGAAACTAAAATTTAAAATTTTTTAAATTTAAACTTTTATTTTTTTACATGGAAACCAATATTAGCCTCTACCTTGAGACACAGTAACAGAAGACACATAAGATCAAGATACATATAATATCATGCAAAGTTATACATTAAACTAAGTAACATCATCTATTGCGGTTTCCAACATATTTATATATTCAGAAAACACCATCAGATAAAATCATAAATCCAACACAAGGCGAGATCATATCAGCAAAAATAAATAAGTAAATAAATTACGGAGTTTTTTTATTATTATTATTAATTAATTTTTTTTAAAAAAATAAGCATTTTATTTATTTATTAAGTTAATGGTCATAATTTATTATATGTGTACTATTTTATCAATTTGAGGCACACTGCATTAATATATGCTTTTAATTTAAATAGATAGGAAATATAGATTAAAGGAGCAAAAACTACAACTCTGTACATTCATTGAGGCCCGAGATCGTGTTTTTAGCTCTCGAGACATTCCTCAAAGGGGCCCCAATGGGTAGGGCTAACACTACTGATAAGGGCTAAGGCTCCTCTAAGGAGCCTTAATAAGGGCTACTGATAAGGATAGCGTCCCTACGAGATAGTAACCAAAAAAGAACCACATGATTTAAAGCAATTACTAAGTATTTAATGCCAAAACATAATAAAATGAGCATAATAATAATAATGATCATAATAAATGAATGAATTTAAAGGTACTTTAGTGACAGATATTTGATTTAGCTTAGAGAAAAGAAGTTCTACTTATCTGAACGCTCCGTCTTAGTGCTGCAAAAGATTGCAAGGAAGACAAGACCCCCAGGTACAGGAGAAACTCCCGGCCTTGAGAACGAGACAATGCAGAGGATATTCGCGAAAATTTTCTTAAATAAATGAAGATTTTTCCGGAAAACACCTTTGAAAATTCAGGAGCTCTTCCAAGATCCTGCCTCCATCGTACGTGATCACAGCGCCCTCCTCTTTAAGCAAAAGACAGACAGACAAAGTAGACAGATGTCTTGTTTTGCACCCGCTAAGTCTTTCTGCACCGATGGGCGAAAAATCAAGCATAGGTGCGAAGGAAAGGTATATAGAAAGAGGGGCAATTTCGTATTTGAGGAGAGTAAAAAGGAACTTCGTACATCTTGTACGAGTTCAAAAGGCCAGGAAGAAAAGATGGGACAAAATAAAATTTAAAATAAATGGCCCAAAAATAATAGAGGGAAAAAGAAAAAAAAAAAAAAAAAAAGGGCCTATAGAAAGAAAAGAAAAAGAAGTAGAAAATATCCTAAAATACGATTGTGTCCATGAGTGTAGTTAAAAGGAGAAGAAACTGTCTTCATTTACAATAAATAGTGTCTCACAGGTGTGTTTGTGTAGTGAGTGTGTTTGGTAATGGTGAATAGATGTGTTACTGGGAAAAAACAAATATTGACGGTGTTAAAATGCTTCGTATCAAGGTATTTAGCATGGAATATAAAGTAATATGTACGCTTGCATCCTGAGATATCAACAAAGGTCATCAAACCAAAGTATATATTAATTTAACCAAAGTAACTTATGCTACTTTCATTCTCAACATTTTCATACATTTTTCAAAAAGCAGCAGCAGACTAACAACATAGAACCATATACAATACAAGACCACAACCGCATACACCCAAAAAAATAAATAAATAAAATAAAATATAGATATATATATTTATGTGTGTAAATAACTGAGTATATGTATTAAAAACACAAATTAAACAGTATTTATTAATTTAACTATCATAATTTATTACAAGATTAATTATTTTACTATCATAATTTATTACTAGTTAAATAATGTTAATATAACACAATGAGGCACACTGTTATTTATATAAGCTCATAGTTCTAAAAATTCATTTAAGGCGGTGAAGAATAAACCATCCCTTACATATGGACATTTAACAGATAGCAAAGAACAGTATGAGAAAAAATCGGTGAGGTATAATATTATTTAAAGGCGAAACTATATTCAAGCGATCTAGAAAGAAAAGAGAATCCAGAAGATCCGAGAGGGAAATAGCGCGATGCCCAAATTATCCCTCTCATCCCCAAATTTTCCCTCTCTCGAGATTCCTTAAAGGGCTTTGTAAGTGTTGACAGACGTGAACTGATAACGCTGGCGTCTGTTTCGAGTTGATACACAAAGGAAGCCACAAGCAATGGCAATTTCAAGTATTTTTTAATGCTTTAAACTGATGAAAAATTAAGATTTATTGATTTAAAGGCACTTATTTATAGAAATTTGATTTAGTTTAGATGAAAGAAAAGTACTTATCTTAAAATTCCAGGCTTTTGGAGTATATCCTTACATTGTCCGCTGTTTTATTCTCGTCAACATCGGAGCCGAAATTCATTGGAATGATATAGGTTTTGTAGGGGAAAAATAAACATTTTTCAAAGAAATTTAATTGATAATCACCAAGAGGAAAGCTCATAGTTCTAAAAATCTGTGGCTGTGTGATCACCAAGGCGAGCGCAGCGATCGTGCTGCCGCTTGCCTCGGTGATCACACAGCCCCCGCTTCTAGAAATTACTAGAAAGCAATATGAAGGACGAATCTCTTTAAGCAAAAGAATTCTTTTCTGTATTTTCAGAAGTTACGGTTATAATTTTTAAATTCATGCATTCAATATTTTCAATCGTTTGCTAATGATCGTTTTCAATCGTTTGGTATCTTAATAATACATTTGTGAGAGATAATTCGTTGCGCTAAATGCTAACAATACCACACAACATACAAAAGTAGATTTACAATTTAAAAAATCTCGCACAAAACATTATAAACCTACTATTTCAACTCAGTTAAAATATAATATAAGTTTTCTTTAAATACGAAGCTATAGCATACTTATAACTTGTTTTGAAGAAGAGGCGTAACCAATATTACGTCATAAAAAGGCGTGTCCAAGCATAAGAGAAGTAAACACAGCATCGACTGATGCAGCCTATTCTGCGATTGTAGCCTTTTCTTTTAAATCTAAAAATTTTATTGATTTAAAAATTAGTAATTATGCATCGTATTTGCATAGTAGGGGCAGGTATTACAGGAGCTTTGACTGCTATGATGTTAAAAGAGAAATTGCAGCAAATAAGTATCATTATTTTTGAAAAATCTAAAGGAACTGGTAAATTGTTTAAACTAATAATTGTATTTTGTGTGTGTGTGTGTGTGTGCGTGCGTGCTAAAATTTCGCTAATCTTACTTTTTTCTGTAACTGACTTTCTCTGAGCAAATGTGTAAAACCAGTTATTCGAATATATTCTTCCTTGTTTTATTTTTCTAATCTTTTAACAAGAAAGAACTGAAAAGAAAATAGTCAACAGTTATGGTTTGAATTTCATGATAATTACCAAGGGAGATTCTTCAAAATACTAAGAAATAAGATACAGTTGAGATATAAATTCACGACATAACCTAATTGTTATTTTCATTAAATAATGTTGAGAACTTGAGTGCGTAATGAATAGTTGTTATTAATGCTCATATCATTATCTTATACCATAATATCATCTTATCTTAAGCATTTTTTGAAGTAAAAAGAAAGTTTGGATCCTCGCAGAGTCCACACCCTTGGCGCGAATGATTTGGTTATGGCGCGTATCGATGCGTACATGGATAAAGTCAATGGAGTGTACAGTGCCAAGTTTGTGCAATACTCTGATGTTTTTTTAAGTGAAAATAGGTCTATGTGCACATGGATACAAGTTTGTGCAATTCATTGACTTGTTATTTTCAAGTTGGCGATTTTGCGTGCAAAGTAGTGTGCGCACTTTCCCAGTTTGTCATCATCGGTGTGGGTTCTACTAGGATTTTACCAAAAAAATTTACAAATAATCATACTGAAGTCGTATAACTAATTTGCAGTATAATTCATAATTTCACGATAGCCGTTAAATTATTTTGTACATCGAAATTGTAAATACCATTGATTAATATAAGACATAGTTCTTTTTGGCAAATATAAACTGAAATTAACATATTCTACAAAACTTCATAAATGTCAGTTACAAATTTAATTTGGAATTCTCGTAAGTTTTGTCATGTGCAACGTTTATGTTAAATATATATTTTAAAACCTAAAGTTGAACATTTAACTAGAATTGCATAAAAATTCATGAATTATGTATAATATAATCATATGCTTTTATTTAAGTTTGTGATAGTGAAATAATTATCCTCTGCAAAGAATTTTTTCCTGATCTCTTTTACAAAAGCATTTTTGTATGTTTTTAATAATGACAATATGGTATTTTCTAGTGTATTAAAGTACAGTTTCTCTTTTCTGCTGTACAGGTGGGCGTATGTGTACAAAGAGGAGTCCATTTGGAAGTTCTCTGGATATTGGAGCACAGTTTATAACTAAGACATCAGATATAAATCACACACAGAAAAGGTTAGAAATAAATACTGAGATTCTTTTGAAGTGAAAATGTTAAATACGTATACGTCTTTGGTCATTCTAGACTTATTGAAACTTAGGTGCACGGAAAAAAGTCGCCTGGAAAAAAAAGAAATGGGAAGGAGGGCACTCTTGCCAAATAATATTGCCAATCCGAGTTGGAGAAAAGAGCTAAATTCTCATTTGACCAGCAGGGTTATATCGGGCTGTCTTGAGGGAGGCGTTAAGTGCAAGACGCTGAGCTAGCTGCATTTTACCAAGGTCATTTAGGAAAGAGATTTTTTCAAGATGCGTCTGGAAAGATTGCATTTCTCCCCTACTTGTTCTACAATAGATTTATTTCGCAGCATTCTGGTAAGAGATCCAGGTTGAGGGCAGGTCCCCCGGTAGATAAGAATTAATGGGGAGACAATTTTTCTATTCTATTCTATTAATGATTATCGTTCCTGTAACTAAATGATTTCATCAATCCCTTACTGAAAATTAACAGTTTGTTCACAGTCCACAGCTCGATTTAGTCCCTTATTTATGTTCTCGTTAAAGCCTGGAATCCGCCATTTCATAAAATATCTATGTTACATGAATTACCTTATTGAATCGTTTAAAATATATATAATTGTATTCTACGATATAACTAGTTATTTTATAGAATAACGATTGCCCAATTGTTACATAGTACAGATCCTTCGTTAATGTATTTGAAAATGCCTTATCATTAGTAAAGTTGGCACGCAAAAGCTGCTTTACTGCCAGCAGGACTAAGTAGCCTAATAACTTTTATAAGTTTGTAGGGTTTAAATTTTTATTTTAAGTTTAAGCTATCTTTCCTGTCAAGCCTTTACTTTTCCCTAGAATTGCCAATGCCAGAGTATGTAAATTGTAGTAGAACACGCAGTATATTCAAATTTTAGCAGAAGTAAGTTGAGTTTAAATAGAAGGGAAACGAGATTGTATGTGTGCTTCTTGAATAGCGAGCGTGAAGGTTGCTAGGTAGAAATTTAAGAACCTTGTGTTTCGGCTTGTGTGCCTATTTCGGCAGTTCATTGAATCTTCAACTGCTTAATCAGTAAGCTTGGTGAATCTCAGCTGTATCTTAGAATGCGGTTAAGTTAGTTACGATTTTAGAGCCTCGTAGGTAGTGATCTCGTTATTTATTCATCCTGTGATTTATTTTTAGTTTCACATTTCTGTTTTGTTAAAATGCCGGGTCGGCGTAGTTTGTTAGCGTCAAGTGAACGCAGCTGTTATTTCTAAAGTGGAATAAAAAGGGATTTAAACCCTTCTTACGAGTTTTTGTAATTTACAGTTCATAGCAGTCACTACCACTGTTGCTGACAAGTTGGGGCCATGCAACACTATATTGGTGCCCGAACATCTTACGAACTGAGATGGCCGAAAACTGGATGGAAGCTCCTGTACAACTCCAACAGCAAGAAATGGTGAACCAGTTAGAAGGATTTGGATACCTGGTCCAAACGATGAGACTATCTATCAAGCCAAACATCAATTTCAACAGAAAAAATTCAGTTGCGATATTTTTAGAAGGCCTCGAAAATCACTTCCAGTTATACCCTGTGCCTGAAAGACAAAAAGTTGCCATTGCCACGTCTGCACTAAGAGGACAAGCCTCACTATGGTGGAAGAGTATAGGGAAATTTTTATTAGGAGAATTCGGAGGCCAAACATATACCTTTGAAAATTTCAAAATATCATTATTAAAGGCCTTCCCCATAATGAAAGACCGAGCAAAGCTAGAAGCCGAACTGTATAGTTTTTATCAACGTAATATAGAAGATTTGACGGACTTCATTCTGCGAAAAGTTAAGCTGACAAACATGCTATATGGGAAGAAATCCGACTCAGAGATAATTGAAATAATATTACTACCTTCTTTCCAAGATTATTTAGAAATCCGAAATCCATGTACCTTGCAGGAACTCTTCAAGTTGGCGGTCAAGTTCCAAAATTGCAGAATAGCGGAAAAAGCTAGAGGGGTATCGTATTCTCAAGATCTCCGAAGGCAATCCTCAACTGAACAGGCCAGAAACACAAATCGCTCTTATGGGGGAAAGAGCTATCAAGCTAACTCATCAAAGCTCGAAGGTCAAGGCCCAAAAAGGAAATTTGAAAACAACCGTCCGCGTACCCAGAAGGCAGAAGTTGAAAGGAAAGCTTTAAACGAGTAGAGGGGCCTGTAAAAGCGAGGGTTCAGACCCCGGAAGTTTCGAAAAACCCTCAAGAAGATACTTGAACACAGTCATGATAAAGAATTCCCAATTACCAATTATACAAGTCCTGGTTGGCGATGTACCAGTAGAAGCCCTCATTGATACAGGGGCAGAAAGGTAATTTTATGAGTGATAACATTTTTCAAGAAGAATTTTAATAGGTTACGATTATTTAAAAATAAAAACACAGAAATTCATAGCGGCCCAAGGAAAAAACCTGTCAATGTATCGGGAAATTATCATTAAAAATACAGATAAAAGATGAAAGCCTTAAAGTATTAATTTTTGTGGTGAAAAATTTGCAGAATCCAGTCATCTTAGGCATGGAGTTTTTAAAGGCCGCGAAGGCCAAGCTAAATTTTCAGGAGAATTCGATTATGCTGGAAATGGATCGGAGGGTGGTGGAGCCAGTGAAACAACCGCAGGTAGACCTTAGCCATTTGAAGTGTCCATGAAAGCCAAGCCATCCAGCAAGTGGTGAGTACTTTTTCAAAACTTGTTTTCAGAACGGCCTGGTAACTGTCAAATTGTAACAGCATGATATACAACTAACTGCCGATAAACCCTGTAGGACTAAACCCTACCGGTATGATAAACAGAAAGAAGCAAATTATTCGAGGAACACATTCAGGAAAATGCTGCAGAACCAGATAATAATGCCCATAAATAGTGAGTACGCGAGTCCAGTCGTACTATGTAGGAAAAAGAACGATTTCCCTCCTTCGAATAAAAGGGCTTGGAGGTTTGCTATCGATTACGGAAAGCTTAATAGTATTACTAAGTTCCTGGTTTACCCTTTGCCGGTAATAGAGGAAATTATTAGAAAGATTAAGTCTACGAGATACATGACTACGTTGGACTTAACGTCTGGCTACTATCAAATAGCTATGAGACCTGAAGATATACATAAAACCGCGTTTTTCACAAAATCAGGCACTTATGCATTTTTACACATGCCCTTTGGGTTGTGTGGGGCCCCGTCAACATTCCAGAGAGCTATGGACATTGTTCTAAAGCCTGTCCTAGGAAAATCGACTTTAATCTATCTAGATGATATAATTATAACGAGTAGTACGTTGTAACAACATATTAAAGATTTGGAAGAGGTTTTTAAATTATTAAAAGAGGCCGGTCTTACAATTAACGCATCAAAATGCAAGTTCGCGACTAAAGAACTTAAATATCTGGGTTATAAAATTTTGCAAAACGGTATAGAAACTCAGGATTCAAAAATAAAAGCCATCAAGAATTTCCCACCTCCCAATACCGCCAAGAAACTTTCTTCTTTCCTTGGGTTATGTTCTTATTATCTGTCGTTCATAAAAGATTTCGCAAACATTGTTGAACCGTTGCTAGTAGAGTCAAAAGTCGTTAATTCGGACACCCATAATTCGGAATAATCTATAATCCGGACCTCAAAACTAAAAACTTTTTGCGCATGCGCCGCGTTGACACATGCGCATAGGCGTTTACGCGTGCACGTAAGACCTTTTACGACTGCACATATGAGTGTGCGCAAGTGCAGAATACGTGCGTACGCGTTTTATGTATAATGGACGTATAAGCTAAAATTATCTATTTCAGTTAATGTTGATGATTGCGTTGTTCCTTAATTTTCAAATTGGATCTTGCTTATTATTTTTTACAGACTGTAAGAGCAATTTTATAAAAGTAAGCTTAAACTTTCGATTAATATCAAATAGAATTTCCGATATATATTTGTTAATATGTAAAGGATCTAAAGCGAAAGTATGTTTTGAAATCCCAAATCTGTTTATCAATTTCACGCTGCTCGGCAGGGGGAAAGCCGCGGCGGGCGCGTAATGAATTGGAAGTTGATCTGTCAGCACTATCCTTATCTTCAGCGCAGATGTTTATTTCATTCAGCGCAGATGTTTATTTTATTTGGCTTATAATTCCTTACCAAATGTAGTATTTCATCTCGATATGCTCCGTCTTTGATATGATTTAAAACAAGTTCCTCGTCATTATAATTCGCTTCCGATAGCGAAGAAAGTGACAGAGGTTATTGAAAACGAAAAAATTTCAATTGACAAATTAGTCGGTGTTCTCGACACAGCAATTATAGGACTTGAACAGCGGAACTTTGTAACTGAACAAGAAATTATGTCTGTTTAATAGAATTAAAGAGAAAGTATTATAACATGAAACGAAGCAAAACTTAAACAACTTACATTGAAAGAAATGTTTAATAAAGTAAACAAATAAATATTAAGCTTTTTCTTTTTGCAAATTTTGATACCCTTTAGATCATAATTGTTCTTTATTTCATAAATTACGGTTTCATATTTTTAATTTTAGAATTTCCGCATTCCATCTTACGAGATTTAAACTGATGATCTATAATCTGGAAAAATCGATAATCCGGAATCGCCGAAGTCCCGACGAGTCTGGATTAACGACTTTTGACTGTAATTAAAAGAAAAAAAAGTAAGCTTACGTGGACAGCAGAAGCAAATACAGCATTTGAAAGGTTAAAAGAAGCACTCATCAATGCCCCTGTTTTGAAATTCCCGGAAGGGGACGAAAACCTGGAAATTGCAGCAGATGCGTCGGACTATGCCGTAGGTGCGGTTCTCGTGCAGAATGGCCATCCTTTGGCATTTTTTCGTAAAACTTTCTTTTCGGATCATGTGGCTGTTGGTAGACTTTACTCGGGGGAAAACCTAACGCCCAGGTTAATAAGATGGGCTTTAAAACTTTAAGAATATAATCTAATAATTAAATATAAACCAGGGAAAGAAA